ATTATCTCGTGTCTTTTCTCTTTCATTTGTGTGCGGCTCCTCTTCCAGACCCGAACCCTGAACCACGCAGGTGGAGGGAAACACGACAATATTAAGACCCAAGGCTTGCCCTAGCCGGTTTGGCTCAGTGGATAGAGCATTGGCCTGTGGACTAAAGGGTAGGAATGGGCAAAGGGTGTGGCGCTTCCATGCCCTCACCCGGTGCTCCACTCTCCCAGCATCTCCTCCACCTGTTCATCACCTCAGAAGCTCCGAATGGAGTGAAACTTTCTACGTCAGTATTATTTAAGAGTATATTTGGCATCCATTTGGTCATCATTTTAAATGTTTTGTTATTTCCAGTCAAAAAGGCATCCATTGCATTATTACACTGTTTTATTATTAGAATGCTTGTTTGTAATTTCTTCTAGATGTTTCTTAACTTTTAAAAAAAATTAAATTTACTGGGGTGACACTGGTTAACAAAATTACACAGATTTCAGGTGCACAATTCTATAGCACATCATCTATACCAGGGGTGGGCAAACTTTTTGACTCGAGGGCCACAATGGGTTCTTAAACTGGACCGGAGGGCCGGAACAAAAGCATGGATGGAGTGTTTGTGTGAACTAATATAAATTCAAAGTAAACATCATTACATAAAAGGGTACGGTCTTTTTTTTTTAGTTTTATTCATTTCAAACGGGCCGGATCCGGCCCGCGGGCCATAGTTTGCCCACGGCTGATCTATACACTGTATTGTGTGTTCACCACCCAAGTCAAGTCTCCGTCCATCACCATTTGTACCCCCATACCCTCCTTAAATAGAGAACTACCTTTTATTTGTAGTGAAATATGTTCCCTAAGATGCTAGTGAATTAAAATGTAAATATGGTGATGTTTTGTATAATTACAACCAGGACAGAGAAGACTAGTACAGAGATGACTGATTTCACATGTAGTCCTGGGAAACAATCTGTACTGACGCAACATAACTTTGTTTATAAAGATACCCATTGATTCAGCTACTAAGGAGGGAAAGGGAAAGTAGGAGACAATTCAGCTACCCACTCCAGCCTGCCCTATTCAGCAGATATTAAAATTGGTAGATCCTACGATACTTGAGAATTTCTAGCTCTAGGTCATTTGGTTTTGTTACTTTTATTTATAAAGCTGTACAATTACATGAGCAACTACTTCAGTTTCCAGATATTTCACATGGAGTTCTATGTATACTATTGAATCACAAACCACATGGCTGTGTGCAAGTGTGTTAAGGCTGTGGTAATTTAATTTAGAACTAACTTCATAAAAGGACCCATTGTGTGATGAGGAATTAGTGTATTTTCAGACCCTGTGGAGCATGAGGGCATGTTCCTGGAGCATACTGCTTAGGATCTTTTCAGAATTCAAGTCCAGGAACACAGGGTTAATCTTGTCTAGGGGCAGAGAGAGATATTCTCCTGTTGAATTCTAGTGTTTCAACTTAAACCTTCTATCAAGAGAACTCTACAAGGGGGACCCTGTAATGACTACTTTCTCTAGTAGTTAATTGTCAACATTGACTGCAAATTATGACCTATACTAGTTTGAAATTTTTTTTTCTAATTAAATAAATTTGACATGTAACATTGTGTAAGTTTAAGTGTTACTTTGATACATTTATATATTGTAACGATTGTCATTGTAGCAATATTTATCATACTACATAATTATAATATTGTCTAGATCAGCAATTTTTAACCTTTTTTCATCTAATAAATAAAATTCTGTGGCACACCAAAAAAAAAATCATACTTTTTGCCAATCTGACAAAAAAATAAGTACGACTAGCCAGTGTGGCTCAGAGGTTGAGTGTCAACCTATGAACCAGGAGGTCACGGTTTAATTCCCAGTCTGGGCACATGCCCAGGCTGCGGACTTGGTCCCCACTGGGGATGTGCAGGAGGCGGCCGGTCAATGATTCTCTCTCGTCATTGATGTTTCTATCTCTCCCTATTCCTTCCTCTCAAATAAATAAAAAACATTTTTAAAAAATATAATTTTGATTCATTCACACCAGATGGCTACTGTTGTGTTGGCTGTTGTCATTTTTTTGACAATCTAAGAGAAAAGAGGTCAGTGCCCCTGACTACATAGTCAGGTATTGCATGTTTTTAGAAATTCTTGCATCATAAAGGTTGAAAATCGCTGGTTTAGATTCATTATACTGTGCTTTAGTTCGCTATGGCTTATTTACTATTTGTCACAAGTTTGTACCCTTAAATACCATCACTCTTATCCCCACTCCCCAGACCCTGCTAACCACCATTTTACTCTCCATTGTTGTTGCTTTTAATAGGTATGACTTTTTTAGATTCCATACATAAGTTATATCATAACAATACTTATCTTTCTGTTTGACTCATGACAGTTAGCATAATGTGCTCACGGTCCATCCATGTTGCTGCAAATGGCAGGATACCCTCCTTTCTTATGGCTGAATATATATGTACAACATCTTTCTTATCCATTCATCTGTTGATGGGGATTTGGGGTTGTTTTTGTACCTTGGCTAATACTGCAATAAACATGGGAGTACATATATATATATAAAAAAAAAGAATTGTAAGAGCAGGAGTCATTGCAAATACTCTATCTCATATGATATTCACAGCTAAATGACTATCAAACCACATTTAAGAATGCTTTGGCAGTTTTCAAGAAACACTGGTCAAACCATAAATAAATCTCAATGCATCAGTTAATACCTTCTGCGTACCTCCTCCTGTAGTTAGCATTGTATTAGGTGCTTAAGTGCAGGTAGTTGGACTCAATCAATTTTAAAAATATATATTTAAGACTTATTATTCACAGAGTTCTTGGCAGAGTTGTATTTTGAGGTTTCTACTGCTGAGAAGTTTGAGGGTTGTGTTGCCTCTCTTTCAGTCCCAAAAGCTCCGTTTTGAGTTCTCCAGGCTTTGGTGGGATTTCAGGTATTGTCTATTTAAAAAAACAACAACAACACAGATGCCAGTGCTTTCTTAGACTGTAATTAAATGTGACCTGAAAGACTTCAAAGCAGGTAGAGTAAAAGAAAGTCCCTTGCTACTCAACAATAAATCTGTATCATGAGAACCCACAGTTGATCTAAGTCCCTCTCTAACCCTAATGACTCTATTATCCACGCTGGGTTTTAAGTTCTAGAGGGGGAGAGTTTGCATCACTATCACAAATTTGAATACAACTTTCCATATCTGGAAATTTACTCCTGTACTATTTACTGACTCTCCACCTGTATCAAGCAGTGAGCAAAAAAAATATAAAACTACCTTCACAGCCTTTCCAGCGGTGACGACCTCCCCATGACAATATGCCTCCCACTGAGGATCTCCTCCACCCCTCTCCAGAAGAGAAGAAGCACCTGGTGCAGAGCCCCAATTCCTACTTCATGGATGTGAAATGCCCAGGATGCTATAAAATCACCACCGCCTTTAGCCACGCACAAACGGCAGTTTTGTGGGTTGGTGGCTCCACTGTTCTCTGTCAGCCAACAGAAGGAAAAGCGAGGCTTACAGAAGGATGCTCCTTCAGAAAGAAGCAGCACTAAACGCCACCTCGAACCAAGACGAGTGGGAAACCATCCCAATAAACACATTTTGGAAAATAAATAAATAGATAGATAGATAGATAAATAAATAAATAAAAACTACCTTCAGAAAAGATGGTCAGGAAAGGCCTGAGAAGATTACTTTTTTAACCACTTTAGTGAGATAATTCACATACCTACCATTCACCCATTTAAAGTATAAATTTAATGGCCTGTAGTAGATTCATAAGGTTGTACATGCATCAGTACAATAAATTTTAGAACTGCACCCCCAAGAGAAACCTCATACCCACCACCAGTAACTCCCATTCCCACAAAGCTTTCCCACATCCCCACCACTGCCCTGGACAACCGTTAATCTAGTTTTGGCTCAATAGATTTGTCTATTCTGGACAAATTTCATGTAAATGGATTATACGATATGTAGGCTTTTGTGACTAGTTTCTTTCCCTTAGCATGTTTTTAAGGTTCATCCATGTTGCCACATGTAAGTACTTTATCTCCTTCTAGGAACAAATAATGTTCGATTATATGGGTATACCACATTGTATATGTCCATTTATCAGTTTATGGACAATATGGATTGTTTCCACTTTTGGGTTCTTATAAATAATACTTGTATGAATATTCATGTACAAGTTTTTGTGTGGACAAATGTTTTCATCTCTCTCTAAAAGTAGAATAGCTGGGTCATATGGTAACTCTGTGTTTAACTGAGGAGCTGTCAGACTTTTCCACAGCAGCTACACCCTTCTACATTCCTAGCAGCACTGTATGAGGGTTCCAGGTTCTCCACATCTTCACCAGCAAGGTGTGTGTTTTTTTAATTAATACCCACCATAGTGGTTATAGAGTGTTACCGTATTGTGGAACAACGCTTTTGTGGACCTTACGTTCTAGTGGAGGAAACAAAAATAAGAACAAGTAGAGACAAAGGAATAAAATAATTGCAAATTGTGACAAGTGCTCTACGAAAGGATTGAGACAGAATAGCAGAGGAGCAATCCTTTTGAAGCTATCCTCATAGACGGAGGAGATATCTAAGCAGAAACTTGACATTTTGAAGAAGGAAACCAAGCCAAGATCTGGGAGAAAAGCTCCCCAAGAACAGGAAAAGCAAGGCCTTCAGATGGGAAGAGGCTTGATGAGCTTGAGAAACAGCAAGGAAGCTGGTGTGGCTGCAACACGGGGAGAGGGGAGGAAATGGTATTAGGTAAGGCCAGTGGCAGGCAGGTGCCAGGCTGTGTAAGAGCAGGACATGGCATTGCTCTCCATGCAACTGGACGCCATCATCAGGTTTTAAGCACAGGGCAGAAGCGCTCCTGGTTCGTTTTAAGATCCCTTTTGCTCTTGTGGGGAGAATGGAGGGCGAAGCCCAGGGCCGTCCTGCACTCACCAGGTCCGGCAGGTAGTACCTGTGCACCACTTGGGACCCCGCGAACATGGCCAGGAGGCTGGCGGTGAACATCTTCAGGTAGGTGGTCCAGGGCACGCCCGCGGGCATGGTCAGTGGGCTGGCGGGGAGGGAAAGAGGTTGGTGTTAGGTTCCCAGCTCGTGACTAAACCGAGTCGGGAAATACCTGGGTTCTCTCCCACCCCTGTTCCCCCTGCCCCCAGGGCGCTGAGAGCGCGGACGTCTCCTCCAGGCCTGAGACCAGTCTTCTTAGCGCTGGTTTCTTAGCGCTGGGGACTGGGCCTTCGGGATCCAAAGGCAGCTCTGGGGGAGCAAGGAAAAGGCGGCCCGCGTGGCTTCCCCGCGCCCCTTCAAACTCCAGGAGAGGAACTGCAGACCGCACCCCCACTGGCCCCACAGGCGGCCCAGGGAGAGACGGTACCGCCCAGGGAGAGACGGCACAGGGAGAGACCGTACCGGAGGGCACGGCCCCGCAGCGGCTCAGAGCACGGGCGGAAGGGGCTTCCGGAGCCGGAGCGGACGGCCTGCGGACAGGACGGAAAGTACAGGGACTGGAGCCCCGCCGGACGGGAAAGCAGGGAACACGGCCGCGCACGTGACCCGGACGGAAGTGGGACTTCGGGCCGGAACCAGAAATGTTTTCTAAACCGATTCCCAGAACTTTCCGGCTCCGGCTTTTGTCTCCCTTCGTCCCTCTCCCTACAGTAGGGTTTCCCTGGCGGACGTGGAGACGTGGGGTCGCTCTGGCTGTAGTGCGGCATCGCTTGTCCTGTGACATGCGCACATGCGCAAACGGCTCGCGTTCCATTAACCACCTTTCACAGGCCAGGGGAGACCGGCACGCTGAGCAGCGAGTGCTTAGGCGGGGGTCACCCTCGCGTGAGTGCAGTCAGAAGCCTGTCTCCTGGTGCCCGGCGTCCTTGGATACTGAAACAGCCACACCGAGGCAGCTAGCGATGCCCTCGTGCTGTGGTGCTACTGGAAGATAGGGAACCCGAAATGGACAATATTTACGCATTTTTAGGTTGTGCTTTGGTTATGGGTTGACTTATGTGAAGCAAAAGGTTAATGCAAGACAATACGGGAAGATTATGAGTTGTATGTATAAGGTGAATCATGATACACTCACTTTTTAAACAATTAAGGAGGTCTATTTGACATAAAGCACACATTTAAAGCATACGATTTGATGAGGTTTTACCCATGTGTATACCTATGTAACCATTCTTACAATCAAAATAATGAACATATCTATCACAACCAAAAAGTTTCCTTGTGCCTCTTTCTAATCCCTCCATATCGCCTCCTTCACTGGGTAAGCAAGCTTGCCAGGTTCTTGAAAGGGAGAGGAAGAATAGGAGCCCCTTTGTCGATTGCATCACCATTCCCAAGTTCAGTGTCCTGCTCCCCAACAACTCTCCCAGTAAACTCTTCCTTTTGTAAGACAGAACTAAGCAGAGAAGCAGAGGCCCCTGGTCTGCTGGGGTGACGAGTGGAGCTGGCAGACCCTGACGATGCAGCCCCCCACAGTGGAGGAGATCCTGGCTGCCCAAGGGTGACTCTTCCTGAGTGAAAACCTAAGAAAAGTTTGTAGCTCTTTACACATACTCTCAGTCACTAGAATGACCTTTCTGAAATCAGTGAGGCAAGCCAACTGCTTAAAAAATTTCCTTAGACTGTGATCCTAGGGCAGTGATGGCGAACCTATGACATGCGTGTCAGAGGTGACACGCGAACTCATTTTTTTGGTTGATTTTTCTTTGTTAAATGGCATTTAAATATATAAAATAAATATCAAAAATATAAGTCTTTGTTTTACTATGGTTGCAAATATCAAAAAATTTCTATATGTGACATGGCACCAGAGTTAAGTTAGGATTTTTCAAAATGCTGACACACCAAGCTCAAAAGGTTCGCCATCACTGTCCTAGGGAGTTAGAAAAATCAGAGAAAGAGAAGATACCCTGTTCATTCATTAATTCAGGAAATATTCAATGGATACCTACTGTTTTGTACTGGTTTCAGCCTATCAACAACCAATGTTGTGATGGAACCAGCCCTTATGGATATATGTAT